TATTGACACAGTCTAGGGTTTTGTGAACAAGACTCTTAACAGCTCATGAAATAATATAAATAATGACAAATGGGACTGAATCAAGTAAAGAAGATTCTGTCCAGCAAAAGAAACATTACACACAAATGTAAGAGACAACCTACAGAATGAGGGGAAGTATATGCCAGCTATTAATCTGATGGGATTAATTTCTAGACTATATAAAGAGCTCATAAAACTATATGAATATACTACTCAAAACCACCAAATAATTCAATTAATAAGAGGATAAAAATCAAAATAGATTCCATAATAAGTAAATAAAAGGGAAAATCCATACAGTTATTTCAGTAGATGCACTGATTAATGATTAAAATTTTAAACATTCAGAAAATAATTAATATTAGCACACATTCTTTAAACAGGATACATCTACCAAAGTACCTACAATTAGCATCATATTTAAAGTGAACATTGAAAAACCTTAAATCTAAATCCTTTTTTAAAAAAATCCTTCCCCCTAAATGTCAGTGGAGGGTAAGTGTACACACTTCATGACACATGGCTCAACACTACATTAGCCACCTAAGTAGGTGCCATAAGTCAAGACAAAGAAATGGAAGGCACAGTCTGTAAAGTTAAAAAAGAAACTGTCCCTCTCAAATAAATGACCAAAACATGACATCAGGAAATACAAGACAGATATAAAAATCAACTGTACCCACATATCAGAAACATAATGCTTGATATAGTCATTTGCCATCAAAGCAAAACGCATCAATACTTAGAATAAATTTAACAAACTATGCATAATACCTACAATATAAAACTTAAATAAATCTGGCCTTTAAAAGCAAGATGGGCGAGGAAAATGGCTCAGTGAATACAGTTCTGACCATGCAAGTATTAGGGCCAGAGTTCAAATTCCTAGAACCCAAGTAAAGCTGAGCTTAGTAGCAATCTGTGATCTCAGTGCTCCTATAGCCAGATGGGAGGTCAAGAACCCCTAGTAGCTCAGAGCCAGCTCTATAAATATAAAGCCTAGAACAACAAAGAGGCCTGGTCTCAAGGTAGAAGGCAAAATATTCAACACCTGAGGTTCAACTCCTGAACTCAAGACACACTGTTACACTACATACACAGATTTCTCAAAAGAGAAACTCCTTGTCTGTGAACTAGACTTAACAGTATTAGATGTCAGTTTTCCCAAACTCTATCTCTATATATTCAATGACTCAGCTCGAAACTAGTAGGCATGATGGAAATTGAACATGCCAGTTCTAAAACACAAAAGTCCTAGAACTACTAACACAACCCTACACTCCCACACCATTCACTGCATGCTCTACACTTTTTAGTATAAAGCCACAGGAATCAATTTATTGTGCTGCTGGCACAAGCAAGACCAAGTGATACACAGAACAGGCAGCACACAACACATACACACTTACAAAGCCAAGTGGATTTTTTTTCTTTATCAAAGTGCTAGCAAAAGTAATTCAATAAAAGCAAAGTATGTTTAAATAATACTTCAGAAAACAAAAAATAAACAATACCAACTGAATAACAACAGACACAGACCTAAATGGAAAAGGTTTTTTGAAAGACTACAGAAAGAATTTATTTTGGGATGAGGGGTGTTTGAGACAGGGTCCCATGTAGCCCAGGCTAACCTCAAACTCACTAGGTAGCCAAGATTGGTGCTTAATTCCTGCCTCAGCCGCCCAAGTGCTAGGATTACAAGTGTATATCACCATGCCTAGCACTTTATAGGAAGAATTTCTAAAAAGATGACAGCAGGTGGAATGATGGATTAGAAGTCTCAAGCACTTACTGCTTTTAGAGAACCTGGGTTCAGTTCCCAGCAGCCACATGGAGGCTCACAGCCTTCAGTAACCTCTGTTCCAGAGCTCTAATACCTTCCTTTGACCTGTTCAGGCACACAAAACACAGTGCACATACATACATGCAGACAAACTACTCATACACATAAAATAAAATGCCCTTTCTTTAAATATGAAAGGAAAATATTCATGTCCTTAGGGCTAAGGAAAAATTCTTAAACACAAAAATCACTAATCATTACAGTTTAATTATTGAATTTTATTTCAATACAAGATCTACGAGGAAAGGAAAACCCAAACCACTTTCTGTAGGTACATATCCACAAAAATCATTTACATCCAGACTATATATTCAACTCCTATCTCCCTAATCTGAAAATGTTTACTTGTCCAAAGGATATTCATATGTTCTTTTATAAAAGAACACAAAAAGTTATTGAGCTATGCAAAATGGAGTCACAATGAACACCATTACATACCTACCAAAAGTAGCTTAGTTAGGAAAATGAGACTAGTGTTACAGAGTGTGACTCAGGACTTAGGAAAGTACTTGGCACTGTCTACTAAAGCTAACTATGCCTACACCAAAACACAGGAATTCCATCCCCAGGTTTATATAAAACATAAATGAATCTTATACCTCACCAAAGATGTAAATAAGAACATTTCTGACAGCAATACTCTGAACAGCCAAAAACCGTAAGTAACTCTAGCAACCAACAACACTATGATGAATTAAAAAAAAAAAAACATTTGGCATATTCATACAAAGAAATACTGTGAGCATGCTAGTGGAAAACTAGGATATGGAGCCAGCATGACAGCTCAGTGGGTAAAGGCACTCGCTGCCAAGCCTGATGGTCTGAGTTCCAGAAATCCACATGGTGGAAAGAGAGAAATCACTCCCACAAGTTGCCTTCCAACCTCTACACACATGCCATGGCGCATGCACACAGAGAAAGAGATAATAAATGTTAAAAGATCAGACGAAAAGAAAAACAAGGGTGTGACACATTATAATGTTGAGTATAGAAGCTAGAAATAAGAATATATAGTAAATAATTCTATTAATATAAAATTAAAAATCAGGTAACACAAATCTATAGTAAGAGAGGGGAAGGCTAACAAGGAACTGGGATTCCACTTAGCATCAAATATACTTTAAGATTACAGGAAACAATCTAAAAAAACTCAGATGGGTATTTGATGTAAATGCTAACAGTTAAAATATTTCTACTAATATCAGACTGATATATGTCAAACAGCATAACAGAGATAACAAGAACATCCTATAATAATACACAAGTCCATCATTAGGAAGACAAAATGATTGTATTTGCTGTCAGCAAAAACTGAAAGAAATAAAAAAAAAAGAAAGAAAAGAAAAAAATTCTCTCAGGAAGAAATAGATCAAGAAAAAAAAGTGTCAAGAAAAAAAGCTAAAAGAAATAAATAAGCCAACCCCTTTCTCAGGAAATGGCAGCTCAAAACAAAAAATTAAAATGAAAAATTTAAATAGTTAAATTAATGAATCTGACCTAATAAAGCTCTGATCACATTGTAATTCATTGGTGGAAATATAACCAGAAAATCCTTGAGGCGTTTAGAAACACAGATGAACTTGTAAACTCAGGGGTATAAACCAAACACCCTGAAATGTAAAATCACACTGCTGACTGGAGCAGACGATAAGGGAAGCAAGACAGCGCTGCTTGGAGGAAACAGTCTGAATGCACATTCTGAAAGAACTAGAAACTGATATTCTAAACTATCTACTTCAGTAAATCACAAGAATGGACCAGCGAGTTAATACCAAAGAAATTAAATATTGAAGAGAGGGAATTAATCTACAATAGCAAAGCTGAAGAGACTAAAAGTCAATTCATTGAAAAACAAAGAAAACTGACAACTCCCTACCAAGGCAAATTTAAAAATGAGATCAGCCAACAATCATATGAATTAATAATTGATCAATATAATACTAAGTTCTAAAAATTATACAAGGCGAATAAACTGACACATAACTTTTAAAACTCTATTGTAAAAATTAAACATACTGATTATCTCAGTAACAAATTTCAGGCTCGATGGCTTCACCTGTGAACCCTGAGAAGCACATAAGGACAGTGCAGTTACTTCAGGAACTTGCAGAAAGCAATGAGAGAGAGAACACACCTCCCATGAGACCAGCCGAACCCAGACCCCAAAATCTGATGGAGGAATTAAAGGAAAATTACAGGCCAATTTCTGTCCAAAAACACAGGTGGAAAAAAAAACTTAAACACAAATGCATCTTTTAAAGTATGCCAAATCTACTGATGCATAAAAAGGGTAATACACAACCAAGGTAGAATCATTTCATAAATATAAAGTTAGTTTAACATTTGAAATTAACAACTGAAGTTCAACACATTAACCAAATAAAAGAGAAAACTAACTAGTGTTTCAATAGTTGTAGATTAAGCATTTTATTAAAATTCAACACATTTCATGGTTTTAAAAATAAAATTAATACAATGATTAGCCATAAGGTTAATACATAAAATTCAGCTAAACGCAATATTTATATTTTCAACAATTAGAAAATAAAACTTAAGCCATTTTAATTAAAATAACCTCAGGAATACCATACATCTAGTAAATCTGCTAAAAGATATGGACTCCTCTATTCTAACTGAAGCTACAATCTTATAAAGCCCTAAATGAAAGGAGTTACATATCATGTGCATGGATTAGCTGACTCAATCTTAAAATTTCAATTAATCATAAACTCATCTGCAGTTTATGGAACCCTAACCCAAGCTTCAGTCTCTGTAGCTTGCTCTCTTGCACTCCTCCTCGTGTGTGTGTGTGTGTGTGTGTGTGTGTGTGTGTGTGTGTGTGTGTGTATACAGGATTCTAAAGTAATAAGAAAATACAAGAAGAGGAAAGAGCAGGATCAGAAGGAAGAAACTCTACAGACTTCTTAGGAGATGAAGTAGCGAAGGAAACAAACTAGAAACAAAATTCAGTACTTTAAAAGATGAAGCATCACAGAAAACAATTCCATGAAAAATGTTTCATTCACAAATTTAATCTATTTCCTGATCAGCCATATCAATCATAACAGCAAGTAAATATCACTCACCATTATATTCTAAAACAATTAGCAAACATTCTATAAAAATCATTGCTTACCTCCCCAAAAGCTCCTCGACCAATCACCTTTAATATTTCAAAGTCTTCTCTGTGTAATCGCATTTGCTTCACTTTAGAAGTAAATGGTTTAGCTGAAACAAAAGAACAGTGTCAGTTACTTTAATGAAACATAATACAAATTAGATGTACAATAGATGAGTATTTCTTAAACAATAAAAATTCAACTTATAATAAAGAATTAAACCAAAGAACCTTTAAAATCTAACCAAACTATAGAAGCATAATTAACTACTACAAAAAGGCAGTGTGTGTGTGTGTGTATGTGTGTGTGTGTGTGTGTGTGTAATTTTGGCTTTATTCATTTTTTGTTTGTTTGTTTAAGACAGGATCTTGGGCATGTAGCCCCAACTGGCCTTCAACTCACTGTGTAGACCAGGCAAATTTGTAATTTTCCTGCCTCTACCTTTAGAAGTGGTAGGGTTACAGACGTTTTGTGTGTGTGTGTGTGTGTGTATAAGTGAATAGTAAACTGAATTTCCTCAGACAATAGTATATTCATAGCCTATTTATGTTAATACTATATGTTTCCACAAAATCTGTACACTTAATCAGATTCTCATTTCTCATATATAATTCTACAGCATTTGTTTGCCTTATGCTTTTACAGAATATGCTTCTGTGTAGAAATGTACTACCCTTTAATTCTTCTTAAGACACCCATCCTTTTACCTTTGCTAAAACATTTTAACAACCATTTACTCATCAGAATCAAATTTCAGTTACTCTGGCTTAAAACATAGGTTATTTCAATATTGCCAGTTTGTCGAGGATTTTACAAGATGCTAAAGATACTAAGATGAAAAGAAAATATCTTGTCTCAAGCTGAGTAAATGCTGGCTTACCATCTCTACAATCATCCAGTTTAGTCATCCAACAAGAAGAAATGAATATGAAATTCCAGCAGTAAGAAATGAACAAAGATTGGAGCTAAGCTTTTTGCCGGTTGACCAGACACACTAGAACTACCTGCATTATCTATGCAGCATGGCGTTTTTATTATTTTTACCTAAAGATGTCTCTTTTTTTGGTAATGACAAACATGTTTGTTTGTTTTTAAAAGGTCTGTTTTTTTTCTTAATACACCTTTAATAGTTTTTAAATTGTTTCATATCTGGTCAAGTTGAGATTTTTAGGAACTTCATTTTTAATTTGTAATAAAAGTTTACAACATGATTTAAAAAAAGTCAACAACCTGCAAGCACCTGTTAATAAAGGTCTTTTAAGTTAAAAAAAAAATCTTGTCTCTAAACAAATTATGCAAAAAACACTTTTTAAAATGTAGATGATTGATAATTATTAATTTAAAAAACCATTGTACACACTACAAAAAAATGGGGGAAATAAAAGTTAACAGGATTCTCTATTATTTACTAACTAAATATACCTAGTTTTTGTTTAAAAATCTGAAGAATATAACTGGGAGGCACAGTAATGTTTAACTGCTGGAACTGCTCATTGACTCTGATCCTTATTTTCTTTTTCATAGTCTTAACAGTCTTAACAGGGCATACTAATACTTAGGTAGCCTTAAGAACTTGAGCCTTTTTTGTTTTGTTTTTTGTTTGTTTTGTTTTTGTTTTTGAGATAAACCCTTCTTTTGACTTTCAGGGTTCTTTCAATGCACAGCTGGAATTTTTCTGCTTTGATTTCATTAAGAAGTTTTCCTTCTGCGTTTATAAACAAATATTGTCTATATCTTTCCTCTATACTGTGTGCATCTAGTTTGGCACCAATGAGGAGCCCAGCTCACTAAGCTTGCAAGTTTTCATTCCTTTACTGTTCACTGAAGCATCATCATTCCAGCTTGCTTAAAAATGTGTGAGAAATACACCAATGAAACCTTTAAAAGACAATAAAGCAGACCATGGCTTCAGGGTCTAGTAAAACATCTAGCAAGTGTGTCTTTTCAGTGGACTTCTGAGAACTGATTCATTTCATGTTGTTATATGACTGTGTTCCATGTTTTCTAATTCTACAAATGACAACTATGTAATTAGTATGTAATTTCTATGAATTATATATTGCATGAAAATTTAAAAATTTAGGAATCAAGTTACTAATGACATTTTTATTTTCAAAACTCTACCATATGGACAGGGTGTATAATCCTGACTGAGTGGCGTGGCCAGTATTGGTTTTTGATGGTCTATTTTTACTGTTTTTCCTTATCATTATTGTTGAAAGTTTGCAGATACACTACCATTCTTCCAATTACATAATGTTTACTTGATCCTTTCTAGTTTTCTGTGAATCTATTCTGTAGAATTCTAAATTGAATTTATACAGAATGCCAACAAAGAAAGCAGAGACTTACTGACATTAACCTCCTCATCTCCGGGGGGGGGGGGGAGTCATTTTCAAATTTAGATATAGACATTACAGCAAAAAAAATTCAACTAATCATAATGAGATTATAAACATGTATTTACCCAATAATACAACCTCAAAATGCAGAAGTCAAAATGTAGACTAATCACAGCTTTCTGGAAAGACATTTTATTTCAAGTCTCTCTGTGTAACTGATACACAGTTTGAGAAACAGACTCCAAAAACAACAATATATTTGAATAACACAGAGACACAGCACTATAATGGCTGGAAAATATTCTCTCCAAACACATTTAATTCTATAGATTTTGATAATATCAAGCCATAAAACCACTGCCAATAAAACTCGGAATACAGAAAACATGAAAACCAAATCATATGTCATGAAATTAACCATAAATAAACAAAGACAACCAGAAATACCAAAAAACTCTGAAATTAAAAGGAAGCAGTAATTAGAAACACAAAAAAATACTAAATATCAAAATTGGGGGATATAGACTAAACCAGTACTTACAAAAAAGTAAATAAAATTTTAGCCAAGTATGAAATAGTCTACTTTAAAAGGCACTAAAACTAAGTTCAGGAGCACAGAACCAACCCGTACAGCAGGCGAGACCCTGTCTGTGCCCCCACCCATCTCACACCAATAGAATTCAACATATAAAGAGAAAGCAAAATGAATTAAATTGCTTAATTTGAAAGTAAGCACATACAAAAAAACTTGGGGCTGGAGAGACTGCTCAGTGTCTAAAAACCCATACTACTCTTCCACAGAACTAAAATTTGGTTCTCAACACCCAAGCTAGGCAGTTCACAACTGCCTGTGACTCCAGAGGTATCCAAGGCCTCTGGCCTCAGAGGGCGCCAGCGTTCTCATGTACGTACCCACAAACGGATATGCATGCAGGCATTCACAAAATGGTTTTTTAAAAATTTTAAAGGGCTTAAAAAGATTATTTATGAAAAATGCTTTTGTTTGTTGTTTTGTTTTGTTTTGTTTTTTGAGACAGGGTTTCTCTGTATTGCTTTGGAGCCTGTCCTGGAACTCACTCTGTAGACCAGGCTACCCTCAAACTCACAGAGATCCACCAGCCTCTGTCTCCTGAGTTGTACATTAAAAAAAAAAAAAAAAAACCACAAATAAGAAATTGGACAAAATTACAATGCTATAAAACCAATCTAGACTCTCTTAATATAGGTGAAAATGGTTCGGCTGGGGCAATATATGAGGCCACTGGCAGTGGGTTCAAGATCTAACTCTGATGCACAAACTGACTTAGTGGAGCCCATTCTATATGGAGCAATACCTTGTTCAGCCTAGACATGGGGTGGTGCTTTGGTCCTGTCTCAACAAGATGATAAGACAGACTTAGACTTGAAGCAGATGGGAGGTGGGTGGGGGAGTAGAGGAAACAGGAGGAAAGGTGGGAGGGGAAATTGGGATTGGAATATAAAAAATAAATTAATGGAAAAAATACAAAACTACTGAGATTAAATTAACAAAATTATCATAAGCAACCTATGTTGTCAAATTTATTGTGACAAAATATTCTTACAGAGTAGCTGCTTTTCAAAACTGAAAGTCTAAATCATTCAATAAATAAACTGTCTCAGGGTGTTAGTCTTCCACAAAAAAAAAAAAAAAAAACATCAATTGCTAACAGCTTTACAAGTCCCAGCAAAAAATTACATGCCGTGACACACACTGAAGACACAGAAGAAAAATCACTGGCACAAAGGTATCTCCCAGGAGAAAAGAGAATATACAGCATCCAAATAAATATTTATCAATCTTCTGGGAGACCCGTGGTCCTGGAGAAAGCTGTAACTAGCACCACACAGAAGTGAGTAGTGACTCCTAGTGGGGGGCAGTAGAAAACAATGCAGCCTCACAGTGGACCCTCGTGCACCTGCCCAGGTAAATCATCAGAATGCAATCACCAGCAAACAACTGGGCAAACTTAAATGAGGGAAAGTTCCAAAATGGAGCAATGACGTGAAAGATGAAGCCTGTTGTTCCTCACTGAAACAAGGCAACTAAATGCAGGGAATAACAAAAACTCCAATTCAAAATCTGGACGTTTGAATAACATTTCTCCAAATAAGGTATATAAATAGCCGACAAACCCATGCAAAGACATCCACCACCACTATCCATTAGAGAAATGCAAACCTAGCCACAATGAGTTACCACTTTAGACTCTGGAGTTTCATTAATTAATTAAATAAAATTAAGTCAAACTAACAAATATTTACAAGGGTGTGGAAAGATCAGATGTTTACACATGCTGGTGGGACTACCTAGGGTATTGCTGCTTTGAAAAAAAACCAGATAGCTCCTCAAAACACTAAATATAGTTTCACCATATAACCCAACAACTCCACTTCTAGATGTCCAAAAGAACTGAAAGAAGAATTCAACCTACCTGCTCAGCAAGGCTCATTACATTATTATTCACAATAGCCAAAAGGTGGAAACGATTCAAGCTATCAAAATGAATGTATTAGGAAAACGTAGGATTAACACATAACACAGACAGTACAATTACCATTCAGCCTTAAAATGAAATAAAAATACATGCTGCAATATAGCTGGGTCTTGAAAACACTCTGAGTAAAATATATCAGATATTATGTGACTTAACTTCTATTAAATACTGAAAATGGGGAAATTCAGAAAGACTGAAAGGTTTACCACCAGGAGTTAAAAAGCAGGAGGAACAGGGAATTGCTGTCAAAT